GTTAAAGATTTTTAGTAAGTAATTTGAATTTCTGTACCTAGTTTGTAAAAGAAACAGACAACGAGGTTCGCATGAGACTTCTGCAGTTTGTCACTGGCACTTGCCGATTACCTTTGGGTGGATTTGCTGAACTTATGGGTAAGTAAAAGGTGACCTCAACTTTTATACTGTACCTGTTCCATTTGCAAATGAACCATGCTGCAAGTTTGCAGACAGCAGGAACTTCATGTACATCAGCTTGGATCTAGAAAGGCTTTTTATATTGGAAATCCCATGAATACTTTTATAAATTATTAAGAAGTTAGATCATTTCTGTGAGAAGAATGTTCATTATCATGTAACATAGAGTAGGACATAATAAGCTCTCTGTGTCTGAGTTGTGTCTTAATGTCACAAATGTATGACTGTGAGGCATCCCTGGCCATGGCAGGGGGGTGGAACTAGATGATCTTAAGGTCCTTTCCAAGCCAAACCATTCTGTGATCACACTTTTGAAAATCTTTTCTAGGAAGTAATGGTCCTCAGAAATTCTGCATTGAAAAAGTTGGTAAGGAAACCTGGTTACCAAGGAGTCACACTTGGTGAGTTGATACCTACAAACTTTCTGTACCTTAAGTGGCTTCTCACCTCTGGTCTTGCATTGACCAAATCAAATGAAATGTATTTGAATCAGTTCTCTTATGTCCATCTTCAGCTTCTTTTCTTTGATTGCTCTGACATTCCGGTATTGAAAACGCTTCTAGTTCCCCTATTCTTAAGTCTTGCTGCTGCACTGTACATAGTTTGTTAGTATTAGATTTATCAAAAATATAATACAATTTTTCTTGCATAGAACTGAGAGGTATTTCTGTAATTATTTTAGAGAGTATTAAATAACTGGCAAAAGTCAAGTTGGTGTTAGATATATTACATATTATTAGCTGTAGATATTACAGCTACAGCTATTAGATACACTTATTGTACAGTAAAATTGTAAAAGATAAATGTGATAGAAAAATGCATGAGAGAAATGACAGCAGATGTTCAGAACAGGGATGCTTAGTCAAGACAGCAGGTTGTTTTTCCTGCCAGGCTGCAGGCTATTATTGGCTTGTCATTCCTGTGCCAAACTGGTGCAACAGGCACCCAGATCAGTTTCCCCTATATACTGTGTGCAGTAGACACACCTTCCTATGGCAACATTGTAACAATATTAATCACACTAATGATAATAGAATTATTAATATTAATAACATTGGTGATTAATTAATAGAATTAATAATTTTAATTAGGAATTATCTAATTTCCTAGTAGTTAAAAAAGCTACTTTAGGGAATCCTCCATTTTCACCATTTCCTCCACCAGTGCTGTTTTTTCAAGTGGTGTTTGTGGGAGTTAAACATCTTTGCCTGAGGTAACTTTGAGAAAGACATGGAATGAAACAGAATTTTGGCAGAGGCCTTTTAGGGCAAAGTTTAGAGGGGAAAAAGGTGCCAAGCTGTATCTAGGCATGTACAGAAAGAAGAATTCAGCTTTTTCATGTTGTTGCTGGAATTTGGAGATGGATCCCTCTATAATGGTGAACATTTCCTTTTGGGAGTGTTATAATTCTCTGTATCTGGGGCTCTCTGTAATCTTCAAAGGCTCCGGGTTTTATATGATGTGATAAGAGTAGTTTGTTTCTTAAAGTTCTCTGGTTTTACTGCTCACAGAGAGGGGAGTGAGATTGCACTGATTGCTGTCTCTTCATTTCTAATGTTAGATGAGAATATTTTTAACTTCTACTGTAGCAGTCAAGCTCTGTAGTGTTCTACCTGGCATTCAGCTAAACTTAACATTTTGGGTTTTTTTCTGCTCAGTTTTAATCGTTTGGATTTGCCACCATATAAAAGCTATGAACAACTAAAGGAGAAGCTGCTCTTTGCCATTGAAGAAACAGAGGGATTTGGTCAAGAGTAGAAGTGGCTTCTAGTCAAAAAGGAAATCTTGCATAACAAAAGGCCCAGCCAACTAAGATTGCACACTTAATTGTATATAAGCTTTTTGTTCTGTACAGTGATCTTTCTGGAACTCTGAAAGTGTAAGTGTTCTCTGTTCTTCCACAAAGATATGCAAAACAGTTCAGCCTTTTCTACTTTTATTTATTGCCCTTCCAAAAGACCAGAAAAACCCCTCATAAATTTTGAAAGCAGACAAGAGACTTATTTAAAATATATATAAAAAGTATAAATATATATACGAATAGGCTCTAGTTTTATAGAGCTTTAAGTGTATGAGAAGTTGCAGCCATTTAAAAGGGCCTGGATTTGCTTTATCTTGGCTTTATTATTCAGAAAAATGTTTAAACTGCTCTGTGTTCTTTCTTAAGAAACATCTCCAAGTTTGTTTTATTGCATGGCTGTTCTAAAAGGTGTTAAAGGCTTAGGCCAAACGTATCCTAAATATGTAGAAAGATGCTGCTGGTATTTGAAATGACAGAGTATGTTCTGTCAGTTTAATTTTTTTAAATACATAAATAGCTGATATATCCCTCTCTACTGATGTAGCCAAGGTCATGAGTAAAGCCTTTACTGCACAAAAGTCATGTACAGTAAGATGAATGTGATTTAATGTTGAAAGGAATTGGTGCCACTGTTCTGACTTACTGTAGGAGCTGAACAGAATATTTTAATTCATTTGAGCAGCATTGAAATTTGTTTACATATTACCTTGGGTTATTACCACAAGGATGTTAGGTAATCTTCAAAGAAAAACTAATAATAAAAGAGAAAATACTACACATTCTCTCCTTGGTCTGGTGTCTTACAGGTTGCTTTGGTTTGTTTTTTTGTCTTGTTTTTTTCAATTCCTGATGTCCTTTGTACAACTCTCTATAGAGTATGTTAATGTACACTGAGCTAGAAGAGTATATAAAAGGTAATGTGAACTTTGCTGCTTTCTGTGTTCATCCTCAGTTATTGGATCTAGTAAACCCAACTAAAATGAAAGTTACATAAGCTCTGCACAGGTAAAAATATACTTAAATACTGTTATTCCTCTTAACTTCTTACAGAAATTCAGATGAACCTGAATTAAGTATGTCTAAAACCTGTCATCCTGTTGTGTAGGTCAAGTTTGCCCTAAGTGCACAACAGTATAAAGGCATTTTAAAATTAGGTTTATTGGCATTGAGGGCATTTGCTGAACTACAAATATGTGTTTAAACCCCCCCTGAATTTAACACCTTATTCATGTGAATGATATTAAATGCTACTTTTAGCAAATTATGCTACCTTATTATAGAGTAAAACAATGTTTAAAATTACCATTTGTATTATGCTTTAAATATTAACTGTAAATTCCATTACATTTAACTTATACAGAATTTTGTACACACATGAAAATGATTTTTAAAATATGCTTAAAAACACTTCTGTAACATATCATATTGCACTGTTAAAAGTGTACATGCAGAAAAGCTCATGTATCTTTCCAATGCAGCAACTGAATTCTGCCAAAACTTTATTTTTCTACACATTGGATTCTCTTGAGGCTTTGTATTCTATACACCCAGCTCGCTGTGGAGCTGCTAACCTGCACATAGCTGTGATAACACTGGTAGTACAATGGGCCCAATAGACTGCTCTCTTACATGAACTTTCTGGAAGAGTTCCAGATATTTCCACCACTTTTGAGAGTTTTTCATACTACACCAAATGTCTTCTGCAAAACCATGTTCATAAATATAGCATCAAATTAATTTGAAGTGCAGATCCATTTAAATTATGACTTAAGCTGGTTAGAATGGAGGAAGCTTTAGAGAAAAAAACAACCACCAAAAGTCAAAGGTCAGGTAACAGAAGAGCATGTGGCTTGCGTGAAAGACCATTCAGAGGGGTGAATGTCACAGAGCTGAACTTTATGAATTTGCACTAATGACTGACTTGGTGACCCACTACCAACTGCTGAATTTTGTGAATCTGTGAGTAAGTTGAGCAAAATAATAATAAAAAAAGACAGCACATCACGAGCATGTAGTTGCTTTATTGTTTTGGTATTTTAGCTGTCTCGTAACTGCAGTATTTTTTTTCTGTGGGTAAGGGTTAGAAAGGAAGGAAAAAACCCCAAACCCAGTGGCCCTCTGTACATGGCCGTATGATCTATGACTTGGTCTCAAAGAGCTGACTGAAAGCATGGCTCTCCAGGTAAAAAAAAACAAACAAACCCACAACTATTTATATACTTGTGTATATGCGTACAGATAACGTAGACTTTCTGGGAATTTCAGTAACACTGCACTGTAACTTTCTCTGCATTCCCCTCAATTCTGATGTGCTCAGGGGGAGGGAGGAAGACAGCAGAGAGGGAAGGCATCAAAGACTGGGGGTCAGATGAAGGAATAAGAGAGGCAATACTACCTGAAGGAACTACTGTGTAGTTCATGGGTTCTGTTTGTTCTTTTCTTCCTGCAAGCAGCTCAGCTGTTTTTCTCTAAACGCTCAATTCAGTACCTGGATTAGCCTTCCTCTGTCTGCAGGTACTGCTTTCTGTATCAGAAAAGGCACATTTTTACTACTGACTTGGCACGAGCTTGGTTTATTAATCTAAGCAATTTATGCCCTTCATCTTCCTCCTACAGACTGCAGTATTCTTCTCTATTAAAGCAAACACCAAGTATTTCTATTCAGTTTGTTCTAGATCTTTAGGCATTCTACTGGCAGTACCATGAATATTTGATTGCCTGCCATTTTGTCATTATTTGGTCCTCTTCTCTTGGGTAGTGGCAACATACTGTTTGGAAAGTCTGTAAATGCTTTCTGTGCTGAATATCTAAATTTAATTTAGTTTTCTGGTGAAACCTGCTAAAAAAGCAGCAAGAACAAGAAGAAAGTTTTACTTAATCTCTACAAGTCATCATCTCTGTGCCTCCAAATTGTAGTTCTCTTCTAATGTCCCAGCCCCTCCTCTCCAATATACACGCTGTGTGTCAATGATACCCTTTATTCCTATGAGAATCAACAGACAGGATCACATGAAACAGATCTAATTGCCAGTTTAACTGAAACAAGCTAGAGACAGCAGGTTTAGGCTACACTTTTATTAACAGCTTCAGTAAATCACAGTAGTAGTTGGGGTCTTTTTCCTGTTCTGCCCAAATCTGAGGCACTGAATTCCCATCATCTTGTGTCTTGTTACATAGAATTAAGCAACTCCAAAGCTTCTTTCTGTACCTGAAAGAAATATACTTGTAACAAACCAGTGCCAGGTAGTTATGTACTCTTCTAGCAGAACTTGCTGTGCAAGCACACAGATGGTTCACCACAGCTCAGTAAATCCACAACCCTCCTGCAAGTAGTCATCTCTCTTCTGTAGCTCAAGATTGTCAACGCTTGAAACATAAACCCACTTAAGTCAGTGCCTTCAGCGTAATTCACTTAGTATATGTAAAGGGCTTATTTGTGTTGAATACAGATGATTAGCTTTGATTTGCTGTAGTCCAATAGTAGCATATAGTAAATTGTCCTGTATCTGACCATAACCAACCAACCCAGCATTTTCAAAATCGGCACCAGCTGAAGAAGTGTGAGAAGACTGTTTCTGAGGCCCCCTTTGCCTAGGGATTCTGGGTAAAGCATGAATATGACCTCTAGCATCTATGTTAAGAAACAAAAAAAATCCCAACAAACTTCTGGTCCTGAGAGAGCAAGCAGTGCAGGCAGCCAGACGCTGCAGATACTCAGATGTAACAAATGTTCAGAAAACCTACTTATGCCAAATGCAGAGACAAGAATTCCAGTTTCTTGGCACAGGACAGTTTCCTTCTTACTGGACTACCAGGTTTAGTTCCCAGTAAATTCTGCACCACCTCTCTCTGTACCCTTTTGGGAGAAAAGGTCATAGATGTCCATACTGGGGGCCAAGCAGAGTGGCAGCAGGTAACAGCAGCTTCCCAACTTGGCTACTGCACAAAAATCCTTACTGACTACTCCTGCATGGTATCTAAAGGCAAGCTTTTGTGACAGCTGGTTTCACATCTGCCTTCAGCTACTAGTAACCTGCAGAAGAACTGATCAATTTCATACCTTCCTGAGATAATCACTCCTTTAGGCTATTAGAGTCCTATACATCTTGCAAAGCAGTGGAGGAATGGAACCTTTACTAATATTTCTACTGAAAGATGTTACTGAAGAAGCTCGCTTTCGGGAGAAATATTTTGAGTCCTACTACAGAATCTACACAGGGAAACCTCAGTCATGTTTTTTCTGAAGTACAAAATCCTACCAAAGTATTCCTTACCGTTAAGACATTCAGAATGTCACTACACATTTTAGATGTTTTCTGTAACAGTTAAAACATCTCACACTTAAGCTTATTGCAAATTAAATTAGAGGTCAATCAACTGTAAAAAAAAAAACCAAAATAAACCAACTGTAAATCAGTCTTTGTTAGTCCTGATGGTAACAGGATTGTGTATGAAAGGTAATGCAATTGCTGTGCTTTATACTGAACGCAGTATTAAGTCTATATAATTGGTTACACCTCCTAGAACCACTCTCTATGTGTTCAGGGAGGAAGCAGATGTCTTCCCCTCTGAACCAGGACCGGTTCAAAGGGTAACTGAGCCTCATATCCCCTAGCATGGAGATTTCCTGTCAAAAGAGAAAATACATCCATTTGTCTCAATTGGGCCTGCAGTGTTAAAGGATGTAACAGGGTTTTGCTGCATCCATGCTTTTTCTTCCTTCTGTTCATGTGCTTTTCAGCGCTTCAAAAACAGTGATTTCTACATTTCCAGTTCTAGACATATGAAAGGTGAGTATGTGCTCACCTAGACACAGGTTAGCTCAAGTGCCTGCCTTAACTTCAGCACCACAGTTAAGGATGGGTTAATGTTAGCCACAAAAACATCATGAAGAAAAAAGAATAACTGTTCTTTGTTATAAACAAAGTATTTCCAACCATTGTGGTCAGAGGTTGTTACCAACGTACTAGAATTTTTTGGTGTCTAGATGTGATCCTGGATTATAGGTGCTTAACTACAATTTACTCTGAGTGACCTTTATAAACCATTCCACTGCCATGATGTCACAGATTGCCAGTTACAATATAAGACTGTACTACTGCAGTTCTTCATTTCCTACCTGTTTGTCCTCTTCTGTGTGTGCAGGATACTCCTTTGCTTTGCTTAGCCACAGAAGAGCCATCTTTTTATTGTTTAACTTCAGGTAAGTCTTCCCCAAAAAGAGCAAATTTTTGCTGTAAAAATTTGGGTCAGCTGTGCAGAGACAGGAGAAAAGCTTTACATGAGAGTGAGAAGCACGTTGTCACATCATTGATACTTACTTTCAAAAAGATGAACAGTATTTTGGCTTTGAATCAGAAGGAAGCCAATGTAAAACTTCTACTTCCCAGGTTTTGGTCTCATTCATACATGAGTTACATGAACTAGTAGCTTGTTAATAACGCTAAATGAAACCCGGTTCCTCACAAGGAGGGATCTTAATGCATAACAGCTCTACTTTGCAGATTCTGTACTTTTCTGGGTCTGGTAGGTACAGCAGGCATTGCAACCACCTTAGCAAGTAGAGGCCAGGAAATCAGGGCACATTTCCCAGCTTTAGACCATATATATGCAAGTGTTAGCTTGGCTTTTGCTGCTTAAAAATAATGTACCCACATTTAACTTTTTTAAGGAGCATTTTATAAAGCATGATTTGGCTATCAATCATTATTAAAGACTAATCTTGACTACTGTGCATACTTATAGCACAGCGCTTCTCTGCTGCTGGATCTGAGGTCAGGATTCAAAACATACAGAGTTGTTCTGGAAGTAAATTTTGAGAGCAAGTCTATTAAGGTAATACCAAAAGCTAGAGGTTTATTGCAAGTCATCATTTATAAAAGATACTATCCTGTCCAGAAAAGCTGGAAGTATTACCTTCCTCTGCCATGTGGAAGTAACGAAGAGCCTGCAAAAGATACAGTGGCCATTTTTAAAATGGAGAACAAAACACAGTATCAAACTAAAGCCTTATGCACATGCTGAACATAGCTGAAGGACTTCCTGTCAGTGATCTCACTTTTATTAATTCAGTAAACCACTGAGGGTTCTCATTCAATGTACAATCAATCAGATTTGAAGTTTCAACAGAACTAGTACTTGCCCAACTATTCCCCTGCTACTTCCTCCAGAAACACAGTAACTCTTATTCGGTACTCTGTGTGTAAACACAGTACCTAGCAAATTGGATTGTGTTTTTCTGTCTTCAACTTGTCAAAATAATTTTATTTTTCCCATGTAGCATAACTGCAGTTTCCCGCAGCCAGTTCTCATGTGTAAATTTAATAGATGAAAAATCTCATGATTCAGGTCATAAATGTTGACAACTCCTACAAAGCATCAGTTAGTACCCTCTTGTATGAGGATATATCTTTACTAAATCCACACTCATTTTTCAATTAGTTTCCCATCCTGCACATCAGAAATCTCAGTCCATTCCTACCTCTTCCTGATGTTACCAGCCAGAGGGAAAACACTGACAGAGAGCTTGAGTGTAGAAGTGTATCTATAAAACAGACTTTACTGAAACTGTAGAAGTCTTACCAGCATGGCTCAACTACAGTTCTCAACTACAACTTTGCTGCTTCAGCCAATTTAAGCACTACAGAATTCGATGTTGGGACTGGCATAATTTTGTACTATTGGAAATCTTGGCTGACAGTTTCCATTCTTCTGAGAATGACTGTCAGAAAAAATTTAAAAGCTTGACATTCCATTAAAAAGTTTTACTTCTTTTTCAATTAGAGCTTAAATTGCTTTTTGTGTAACAGCAAGAGCCTTCTGCAGTTACTTTCTAGTGACTCCTGCCTCCCCACCTTAAAAGAGCAAAACACAGCGGGATAGATATTGGCTGATCAAAACAAAGACTAACAAACAGCTGCAGCAAACTTTCCTATTACCAGTTCAATTTTCTGGTTTCTAGTACAAGCACACTGACGCCCTAGAAGATATATGTCTGGACAGTATGTTCTAGGGTATGTGATGGCAGCAATTTGCATAGCAAAGACACAAAAATACTTTTGACTGAAAAATCCCCATACCATGTGTAGCCAGGGGATGAGAAATTGTGTCTGTGGTAAGTAACAAAGCAAGCTGTTGTTTTTTTGTATGTAAAGAGAAAAGTCCTCATAGTCCTATCAATTAAGTACATGGTATAACCACCAAAGAAATCATCAGCACCAGAACTAGTACGGACAGTTACTTGCAGTACATCACAATAGTAAATATAAGTTACACATAGCTTATTTCCTGCTGCACAAACTACATAAATAATGTTCACTATTCTGTGTGTGCTACAGCTGGAAAAAAAACAAAATAATTGTTATGTTTTTAGATATCCCTCACTCTCCTGTTATATTCCCATTTTATTAATTGCAGTTCTAAAATCATTAGTCCATGCTTATTCCATAAACAGAGGTCAGCTTTGTCAGGAAAATTAGTAGAAGTGTATCAGCAGCTTTGAGGGGGGAATATGTGAAACATTTTTTTATTGTACCTCTTGAAATGTGGAGGTTGGTGGTGAGGCAAATAGCGTTGCAGCTATTTTTCTTTGGTACCATGGCATTTCAGCAAAGGTGTAACACCTGGAGCAAAAGGAAACATTTGTGTATACCCTTCACATTTTTTTCTCATTTTCAAGTAAAATTCTCATACCTTGGATGTCATAATTGTTATTTCCATGAATCACAACTCCATACCACAAGTTCTGTAAGCAAGTTCTTACAACTGTATAACAAACCAGCAAGATGTCTGATATTGCTGCATAGCTCTGCTGAAGAAGCGTTGGTGTGTCTTTTACTGTGTACTGCTATTACATTGGACAAACTGGAGGCAGTTATTAACCATGAGACAGCTTTTTGAACTTGAATGATTTTAACCATTTATGTGTATTTGATAGTGTTCTAATGTATTTTCAAAAACAGGGTGCAACTGAGTAATGCTATTGCCTTACCTCAGCACTACCTTGTTTTTCTCAATTATTACTATAAAGCAGATCTGCAGTGTGTCCCTGAAAGACTCTGATCTACAAGAATGAGAATAAATCCAAGAATCAAACTACTGTGTTCTAGGCTAGGCCATTCTATGCTGTTGTACTATCTACAAAATAACAAAGGTAACCAGTTGCCTATTTCAGAGATGTTGAAAGGATTAAACATTTGTTAGGTACTTCAAACACATACAACATTCCAGGTGTAAGCATTAGACAACTCTATTCACTTTATTACACACACCCCCCCCCCCCGAGTATAAAAATATTCTCTGTGCAAAATAGAGCGCTCTAGAGGAGGTGAAAGGTGAAACATCAATAAATGAAATTATAGACGTGTTTGGAGGAGAGGGGGTGAGGCACAGAATAAATAAACTTTCCAAGTTGAAAAAAAATGGTTCAATGCAGGATAGACTACGAAGAAAAGGCACAAAGTACTCAAGAACTGGCTTATATGAAATTCCAGTTTCAAATGAAGATGCTCTGGGATGCCATGAGTATACAGTATAGGAATAGGGGCAGAATTATCCCTTAAATGATTTCTGATCACCTTTTCTAGTTTTCCCTAGGAACAGTACCTTAAGTACTTCCCATAACAAGCTTCCTATCTCAGAACTGAGCTTGAGGGTCATTCAATTGGTAGCATATGCTTCTGTTTAAAAATTTAGACTACTGCAGTAGTTAAGTCATGGGAATGAGTGGTGGATGCTGCAAAAACAAAGTCTGTTTGTAAACTAATAACTGCTGGAGTAATAAACTGTAGTTCACTCTGATATTCAAAAATACTCAGTATTATTTTTTAAGCTACATTTGATTTATTTATTTTCAATCTCTCAATCTTAGACTAGAGATTGCCTTTAAAACAGCGTAGCAGCTTTGGCGTCTTTCACACAAATAACCAGAAATGCTGCCTGGAATCTCTGACTATCACACAAAGGTGTGTGATAGTGCTTCCACAGCATGCCCTGGTTTGTCTGGAAAGGTGTATTTCTAGGCCCCTCACCTGCTGTGTAATGGTAATTCTCAGTAACAGTTTCACTGAGCAGCAAGCTCAATTTCAGAGATTTTTGTTAATGTATATGCATTTATAAGATGCCTTTACTTAAAGATAACTTTAAAAATACAGTATCAAATACAGCATGACAAAAAAAAAAAACAACCCGTAAGTCTTTTAGGAACACATCTTGCTTTTGATAGTTTTTTGCTATACACAGATTGTGTTAAGTTGCTGCCAGCACCGAAATTCGGCATAATCTCAGTGTTTTGTTTACATTCACACCAACAGAACAAAATTAGTAGTACTTGCAACCGCTGATGTAAGTATGTTTCCATAGCAGACATCTGCAAAATGTGTTTTTAATAGTTCCATACAGTAAAACAAAATAATGGGATAAGCAATTATTTTCATCTGTTTGGGCAGCATATGCCTTAACAGCCAGACTTTTTCAAGGCTTGATGTCCTGTATCCGTTCAATAGGTTTTCATGTCTGCATCAACTAATTACAAGCCACTGAATTATTCCAACCATTTCTGCAATTCATATAAGACATTTTATAGTGTAGCATGTGGCAAAGCAAATGCCAACTTTTGTTTGAAAATATGCCTTACCAAATGCCTATAAGGTGAATTGTTGTAGCATCCTTTGGATTCAGTTCGATGGCTTTCTAGTGGTGGGGGGGGAAATATACAAGATGTAAAAAGTTGTTTTGCCATATTTGGATTAAAACACATTTAAGAAGTAGACTTAATTAAACCAGATTAACAGTGTGTAGAATTTCAAGGCAATATGATATTTATTCAGTGCACAACTAAATGGGCTCCAAGAAACTGAAGACACTGACAGATTTCTAAGCACTTCTGTTTAGTAGCAGGTCATTAAGAATTTCACTTCACATGAGACTTGGCATATTCAGATTTTTATATCATTTCTGGTGGTATTTGTAGTCCTTTATCTTCTCCAGGACTTTCCTTTACTGCTACACAATCCACAGTTAAAAACAGAGCCACACATCCATTTCTCAATATCACAGATACGTTTTATCTAGCCCTACGAGGTGCCAAAAGCACGTCAGCTATTTCAAGACTCCCTTCTATGGGCTTAGTTTACTGCAGGAGATAAATCTGTCCTCCTCGGAGGCTGGTGGGGCATTCAGGACTGTTACAAAACCAAAGTGTCACCAGCAGATTTGAACAGTACGTTTGCCAAAAAATAGCTCACAACTGTCATGCAGTCTACATACTGGACATGTGAATACTGTCGTATGCAAAACACTGTTTACATTACCTGGAAGTGCTCTTTGATAACAAAGGCATTTCCAATTTTAGTCTTAATGCCTTCAAAATCTCCAACATCACTGAGGCAGATTCCATACCACTGTAATTCAAAGAACAAAAATAAAACATTTAATACAGCACTATGGCTATTAGTAGTAAATTAAAAAAAAACAACAAAATGGAACAGCTGCCACCACCACTGATGACAACAAGCAATTTCCAGTGAAACTATAGAGCTATTGGTGTGCTTAGAAACAGCATACGAAACATGGGGCATGTGAAACATTATTGAGTCTACGTAAGAGAAGGATGAGCTAATTGCATCAGCTGTAATCAGCCTCATTGGTCACCTCTTTCGTGGTCCTGCACATACTTAACCAGTTCCCATTTCCTGTATGGAGGCAATTTAGCTGCAAAAGTCTGAACTATGGTCTTCCAAAACAGGGGGAATTAGAAGTCTCACTCATTCATTCTCAACTGAGAAGTTAAAGAGTCTGCTGTAACAGCACAATTATTCCAGCTTCCACTGGCTGGAAATCAAAGAACAAGACATGAGTTATTTTGCTTGGTTCACCTTGTGCGCTGCAGAATTTGATTCATTTTTTTCAAGTGCCCTTTTTGCATACTCAAGGGCTCCATACGCCAGTTGTTTCTTCTCCTCTGCAGAAGTACTGCTGAGCTGAGCTAGGTCTCGTGATGCCCGTGCCAGCCGCCATAACAACTCTGTGTCATCACTAGTTATGAACAGAAACACTTAACATATTACAGCAATCATGGAAATTAAACAATCAAAGGTCTTAAACCAGCTTTTCAATAGGTACCCTAAGTGGGTGATAAGACAACAGTGTATATGCCATGTACAACCACAAGGTAACAAACAACAACGGAAACCCTCCATTATGGACTCTGATGATACCTTTGTTCTACCATTCTGGTCTGTGAAGCATACATCTCTGTAGGAAAGGGCTTTGTTTTCTCAAAAAAGATGCAGTTAAGAAAACCCCCAACAGTATCACTGAAAACACCAGAAGGAAAACAAGCACTTCTTGGTTCTTAGCTAGACAGTATTTTTTCCAGCATCCCACTGATTTGATATTAATGTTTACTAGGAACGTTAAAAACATTATGTATCTTTTCTCTTATAATTGTATGTAAATAATAAATTCTTCCTAAAAAAAACAGATTAGCCATGCCACTACCACATAAAGCTGTACCTTTATGTATGTAACTCTATAAAATGGTGTGTGGTATGTTATAGCCAAAGGGATTTTAGGTTTTATTATCTTGTTAACACACCGTTTTGAAACACTGCTTGCACTCTATGTTCAGCTAACTACCATTTGAATTTTGGCTTACTATTTTAATAGAGACATTAATATTTAGAAAGTTTTTCAGAGCTTCTTATCCAGTGCTAAAACTCAAACCAAAAATATTAAAAAGCATACATGAGTTATTGTTAAACTCAGAGCAACAACAAACACCAGTTTTCTTCTATGGAGTAAGACTGGGTCACTGCTCAGGGTGCAGCAGTCCTGCCTGCACTATTTAACACACAGTAACAGAAACAGCTGATTCATTTTTCACCCAAGTCACAAAAATGCTAAGTACTGCTAATGGAATCATTACTCCTCACAGAACAATTAGTATTGTTATACACCTAGCAACAAGCTTACACCTTGCTTATGACACGGTGACCCTTACAGGTTAGGATCTTCATTTAACTTCCCAGGCTTTATACTTGTGCCTCGGCAAGAAGGGGCAGTGGGAAAGAACTGAAAACCGAACAGTTGATTCCCTCTAGAAATGTTCTAGAGATGCCTTGTGTCCTCCAAAGGAATGGACTTTGCATTTTTTGCCTTCTCCTTGAACAGCTTGTCCCAATTCACTTATCAGTAATGCTCTATGCAGCTAAGGCATAACTACATGAAGAAGGAGCTTTTTTTGTGCAGTCTCAAATAATGACATGAGACAAATGAAAGCAGAAAAACAGCTGGTCAGCAATGAAAAAGGTAACAGTGACTTGAAATCTTTAATAGCTGAATTCTAGGTACTTTGATCATTTAGTAATGTGTCGGCACATTGTGAGGTTTTGTTGTTGGTTTTTTTTTTCCCCCACTAGAATTTAAAGAATTCTTAGCATAACAAATCAAGCAAGAAAGAAATCCTCCTTCAAAGGACTGAAAACTTGAGTGTTGACTCCCACCACCTATAGCTACCAGTCCTCATTTCATTCATTTTTCCATTAGGAGGAAAAAGATCAAGAGTCCTTTTTTCCTACTTACGTAAGGGTGAAAGCAAGGTTCTCCAGCATACCACAATGAGAACATGAGATGAAAAAAACTGATATAGAAGAGTGCAGAAAAGAAGTCACAGTAATGTCTCAATGCAATAAAGTACCTATTTTTATACTGAACCAGCAACCGATACAGCTTTTCCGTTTCTCCGCTCCCATACAGGTAGTCTGCTTGCTCTATAACTTCTTCCACTTAAGAAAGAATTGCAATTGTGGAAACAGAAGAACAAATTACATGTAATTAGAACATTATAACAAACAAAACATTTTAGAGCAAGACAACCTAGCTAAAACATAAGGATGTAGTTCCTTTTCAGGCCACCATTCCAAACAGCTTACATGCCCAGGTGGATTGAATAAACTACATTTTCAGTGAGCAACTAGGAAGAGAAACAGTGCTGAATACCTGCCTCTCATGAGGCTACAGAGCAGCTTTCAGCAACAGAGCTTTGGATTGTTTTTTTCATTCTCAATATCATTCCATAGTTTTGCTAGAATCTGACTGCAGATTGAGTGGGTCCCATTAACTTGTTCAACAAGCCAAACTGAAACATCGCTCAAAGGTTTTGTGAGTGAAGTCCACCACATATTCAATACACTAAAAGCAAAAATAATTCTGAAAATCAGAATCAGCTTTCTAGAGTGTCAATTTATGAAGCAAGTACCCATTTTTCTTAGGATACTTTACATCTTCTTCTAAAAATGCTTCAAAACAGAGATGGGAAAGTACAATTTCCACAACAGTGGAAACAGACAGTAATATATAAGTAAATATCCTATGTATATAGTACATAAAACAGCATTCCAGAAATGGAAATATCAAACACCAGAAAATACAGGATTCTACAATGAAAACAGACAGAATTAGGAGAAAAAATACCCCAAAGGAAGCAGGTAGATAATTCTATTAAAGTATTTAACTGTACAGGAGATGATCAAACTCTGAGTTTACTCTTCTGCCACCAACATTAAAACATGGAAAAATTACCATTTAAGTCAAAAGCCTTCTCTAATTTCTTACAGAACTTTCAACTATGCTTATCATCTCTTTAATACTACTCTTGGGTCCGTGATCAAAGTTCTTAGTGAAAACATAAGTTCTTCCCCCCACCCCCCCAGAAAAAAAAGTGTTTATAAGCTTTCTTTTTTCAAGTTATCTACTGAATATGGTAGTCATGTTTCACAGCAGCAGGTTTTCTTACAGAAGAGAAAAAAAAACAACCCAGCATTGAAGGCTACTAAACACAAAAGTCTTCTCTTCAGCTTAGAAAGATCCTAGAATATAAATCACTGAAGATCAGGCAAGCGTTCTGGATAATTTTTAACCCTGACACTTCTAAATGCTTTCCATTAACCATTTCAAAGATAAGATAAGGCAACAGTCTACATGGACTTTGGATTTTAGCATCCAAGATGAGCTTCATGGTACATCTCCAGTTCAGTTCAGCAAACCGTTACGTTTGCTTGCTTAGTCTCCCTGTATACTACTAACATATCTAATTACTAAATGCTCAGAACTCAAACTTCTGAACACCTTTCCCACCAGAAGTTTTATATAAATTGTTAGACTTATATTTCTTTAAGAGTATTTTTCAGGTATTTCTTTTTCAGTCTTATTTTCACAATATCTACTACTTGTCTTGTAGAAAGCCCACTAACACTGCCTTTTTTTTTTTTTTGGCGATGTTGCTTGTTTCAAGTGAGACCACTAAACAGACCAGAAGCAACTAAGTAGTGTTCTTTATCTTCCTCATGGGAAATTTTCTTATTTGTATACCAAATAGTTACCTTAAATCTATTCACTGAACCTCCACCTGTTGCAGCAAATTAAACAGTTCCTTATCTATTCAAAAGTACATTGTATGAATTTTTGTGTAAGCTTCTAAGACCTTCCTCTCTTTGAGACACAAAGAAACAAGTTAGCTGAACTGACTACTTTCCGATCTACACAGTAAATGTATGTTTCATTTAGGCTCATTCCCCATTCAGTTAGGTTTACTCTCAAACCCCCTTAATTTACCATGTGATAAGCAACTTCTAAGTCTGCAACAATATTCCCTTTTAAGATGTTACTTTTCTTTCAGTAGTGGGACTGCTTTTATTCAGATCTTGAAAAGGATATTTTATCACTTGTTCTATACTTTATTGTGGTAGATAAAGAAAGGCTTTTCTTCCTTTTTTTTCAGCGTGACAAAAAAACAAGACATTTCCCAATTTTGACTGAAATGGAATTTCAGTGAGGCTTGACTAGATTAAATAGAACTTCTACAGATTAAGGTTTGGTCTGCAATCCTAACCGAGTCATGTCTTTCCCAATACGTTACTTAAAGCTTGGGCTACAAGTTAGGTGTATACACCTTGTGCATGTATTATATGATGGACAGTATGAGCTACTAGATCTGCTTTCAGTGAAATATGAAAAGAATCACTTGTTAAATTGCTACAAGGCTACCTTGAAGCAATTCAATGGTGCAAATGATGCAAATACACTGTGTGCAGTCTTAATGGAGAAAATCAAGAGCATTAAACCATTTTCCTATATAATTCTGGCACTAAAACCAAAAAAAGTTTACATTAGAATAACTTATGTACTTCAAAAGTTAAAAAATATTACCTCTGAAGCTTGCATGAACCTCAGCAAAGCCAGAAATCAGCTTGTGAGCTTCATAAACCAGGAAGGCCCCTGTTGAAAGCACAAGCCCCCTCCGAAGGCTTTTTCTAAGCACCTGCATGGGATCACAAGATAATGCATTAATAAACACTGTCAACCTAACTTAAAAAAGTTTGTATGCTCCCTAGTGTATATAAATTATAATAGCAATTATATTTCAGATCTTGATCAGAGAAAAGCCTTTTGAAAGTGAAAAGAAAAAAATAACTTTGTAAGATAAACTGCATTATCATGAGGGTATTTTCTAGTTTTTTTCAACACAGACTAGTAATTACACTTTAAAATAGGAACAGAGCATTAGACTGAAAATAAACCATAAACATGTTCAAAAAACATGTAGACAAGGCCCTTTGTGACATGGTTTAGTAGTGGACTTGGCGGTCAGGGGTTAAAGGTTGGACTGGGAGATCTTAAAGGTCTTTTCTAACCTCGCTGATTCTATGATTCTAAGAATACGGCGCACACACAAGGTAAGAAGGAAAGTATCAAACTCGCGTTTCTGAAGAGCGAACGAGCCCAGGGATCCTAGTTGTGCAAAACCGCACCAGCTCCTCACCGCACAGCGCCCCTCCCAGCCCCGCCGGTCTCCGTAGCTGCCACCCACCCCAGGCCGGCAAGCGGCAGGAACAAGCTTATGAAAACCGTGGAAGCGGCCGCCCACCCCGAGCAACAACGCGGCTACCTCGCTGTCCCCGGCCCCGCGGCTAGCCCCCCAGCGCAGCGGCCCGTACGTCGCGCCGGCCGCCCCGCGCCGGAGCGGCCTCCCCAGGCAGCGAGGAGCACGGTGGAAGGGCCGCGCCAACACCAGCGCCTCCATAACAGCGGCCATCGCACGCCGCAGAGGAGCTGGTCCGTCACCGGCAACAACCCGGCTTAAGGGGAAACAAGAGCAGCAGGCACACGTTCCGCCCGCCAGCCATTGCGTGACCCCAGCGCCGCGCCGCGCCACGCCCCGCCCCGCCCCGCCTGCCCGGCCTGGGGCGGCTGCGAGGGGCTCCCGCGCATGCGCCTCTCGGCCGTGGCGAGCCCGGTTGGCGTGGGCGTGGCCGCCGCGCCGCCAGGGGTGTGAGCGCTCTACGGTTCTGTCGGTGGTTTCGGCAGGTGAGGACTGGCCTAGCTGCTTTGCAGTGGATGCGCGACGGGACGGGCTGGGCTGGGCTGGGCTGGGCTAGGCTAGGCTAGGTGTTGTCTGAGGGCCGGGCAGAGGGCTGGGCGCCCGGGGACGCCGGCCCGCCGCCTGGGAGGGCCCCGTTTCCTTCCCGTGCTGGTTAGGCTGTACTTCTGCCCGTTTGCCGCGGGTTTAAGTTCTGCTCTGGCCTGAGGAGAACGAGCTGCGCCCCCTCAGGGCGGTGCACCCCTGCGGCGGAGACGCGTATGGGGCGGGGCCGCGGCTGGTGCCGCGGGCGGCAGCTGCCCTCACCGTGCCTCCTGGCAACGCACCCGCAAGTGTCCCTACCGCTTCCTGCTCTGAGGCGCTGGCCGCTCACCGCGGGGCTGGGCACTGGCTTCGGCGGACCTGCGGCGTAAGTCGCGTTCCTCCGCGTCCCTCGGACTGCGTGAAGGTAGAGCTGCGCGTCGGAACACTGGTGTGCGGGAGGCCGGTGTCTGTGGCGGTGTAACGCTGCTCCCTTTGGGGAAGAAACTGTCAAGAGTCATCGTCGTTCCTAGATGAACACTCGCTGTTCTTCCTGGGCGGCTGCTAGAGCAGGTGGTTGGGTTTTTAGTCTTTAACTGCGTTTGCACAACAAGCTGACATGCATGTTGTCATAATTTACTTTTCTACTAGGGAAATGTTGAAATATGAAAGCTTTTCACTTTGCTTCCTTACTCGTATCTTCAGGGTGTATTAATATGCATTGCCTTGTCTCCAGACATGGAGCAATGTTCTCTTAGGAGTTTTATGTCCCTGAAAGTTCAGCTTAGAGATGTTTCTATAGTGGTACAGACGGGCTGTTTGTGAAAGTAACTTGATCCCAGACTATTACTTTTTTTTTTTTTTCATTGGAGTTTTAAACTTTAACTTTACATATTAGGAAAAAAAATTCTTCACTGTGAGGGTGCTGAATCACTGGCACAGGTTGCCCAGAGAAGTTGTGTCTGCCCCATCCCTGGCAGTGTTCAGGGCCAGGCTGGACAGGGCCTTGAACGACCTGGTGTAGTGGAGTGTCCCTGCCCATGGAAGGAGGGTTGGAACTGGATGATCTTCAAGGTCCCTTCCAACCCAAAGCATTCTGTGATATGTATAATCAGAGAGGTAAGATGGTTTCGGAGAGCATGCAAGCATCAGTAAACATTGGAAAAAAAAACCAAACAAGAAATAGGTATAGGAGCAGGAAGAGCCAAGTCTTTTTGTTCTTCTGTTATGGTGTTAGGAAGAATGTGGTGTTTTTCCAGTAAGTATATTTGTGCTAATACTTTTGAATTAAACCATACAGACCCATTATGTGTGACTGATAGACCAATTTTAGTGTGAAAGCAAAAATGCATTTCTGTTAGACTGAATAACTAAGCTGTTATTAAATGTCATCTGCCAGAATTCCAAGATAGCAGTGCTATACCACAGTGATTTTACAGCCTTGTGTTATGCCCAAGGTGTTTAATGTTTCTCCAGAATTTAAGGCTAGAGGGAAGCCATAGCGGCTGTTTTGTACAAGCAACACCAAAGATTCTTCTAAAAGAATAAAACTGAACTTGACAGATTAATATTATTACCTGGGGTGGAGTTTCATTTTTCTTTTTTTCCCTTATTCTGATTTAGTATCAGATCCTGTCATTACCGTGTTTTCCTTTAGGCAATACCTTTAGGGACAAAATTAAGTAGTAAGACACTAAATTATTAATTCCTTATTATTTTGGTTTATTTTTCAGTGAATGTCATAGTTCTCTTCCAACATAAATGATACATGATCGAGTTAGTATTTGTAGGTACTAGTTCCTGTTACACCCATCAAAGTTTACAGACAGAAAATAGAATTACGGTACTCTTTACTGGTTTACGATCTTAAACTTCTTTTCCAGCCTAAACAATTCAATGTTTAATGTCCTTAGCTTATCTTTAATATTGCTTTAGATGAGATACTCCTGCTCAGGGATTTAAAAATGACATTATTAAGCATTTGAAGGATTTCTGGATATAGGAGTTTGGGGACTGGGTTTCTGAGTCTGAGCATTTGTTTAGGAAATATTCTTAATTATTTAGATTACTTTCTTCTGTGGTTGAAGGAAGCCTGTATTCGGTAGACCCTTCTGTCTTGTAGGTGGATCAGGTGCACGTGTTCACTCACTGGTTTATCCAAGGCACAGTTAGGAGCCAGTTGAATTAGTTCCGCTGGTGGCAACTTGCTCCAGTGCTTCTCACATCCTGGAGGATTATTATTAAATCCTCATGGTGGGTAGTTAGCACATGTACAATAATCTGATGGTTCTGGGAAGCAGCATGATTGCTGTGTGCCTTTGTTCAGTGCCACTGCCTGTGTGTATGCAGAGCATGTATAATGCCTCCCAGCCACAGTGACTGCAGAGTGCAAGAAGCTGCTGTGATAGTGAATTGAAGAACAGATGACTGCGGAGCTCTTGGTTTGCCTACAGGAGGTTTTGAAATACATCTGGGCAGTAGTAAAGTGTAATTTTGTGATTCTCAATTTCAGGTTAATGTTACTGTTTATACTGAAATACAAAATAATATTTTATATCGTGGACCATTGTGTAATAGTACTTTTATGGATTTCTTCTTTGGCTGTCTTTAGCTGTAGCAGTGTAGGAAAGCATTGGTTTCTCAGAGCATAAGCCATATTGAGAGCTTGCAAGCCAGTGATTTTGGTCTACTTACTTTAAAACACCATAATTTTATTAAAAAATAATTACATGAATAAGACAAAAAAAAAGTAATCTCATGTTTGTTCTTGAAATCTTAAATGGCTTTTTTTGCTGGAGTTTTTAAGCATCTCGTTTACATTGTACTTTGTTCTCTGACAACGGCTCTGAGCTTCCATAGTGCTTCTGTCATGGACGTATTAAACTGTTGGGCAGGTTATTTTGAGGAGCTCTAGATCCTCAAAGTCTATGCAGTTAAACCTGTTACTTTGATTGATACATGGGAATAACAGTTCTTGGTTTTAATTTGCTTTCATTTAACATTTTAATGCTACTATTGAAGCTTAGCCTTCTGCCTAGAAGCCCAGAGGCAGACCTCTGAGGCAAGTTGCCATTTTTAAGAACTGGTATTTGTACCAGTGAAGTGTCACAACATGCCAGATTTGAAATGGACTGTAAGGTTTAGTCTAAAATGTGATCACTTGCATCTTATTTCTGCAATGAAACACAGCAAGATTTTGTGAGATACAGGTTTTTCTCTCTTCTGGATAATGTTGATTAAAGTCAGTCAATGAGAGGAATTGCTATAAAGAATACACTATTTAAGGTAGTATTAAAATTGCATAGTTGATAGATTGTTTTCCATAAAGTAATAGATTTAAAAATAGTTTGATAAAACATGTATGCAAGAAAGACATTTTCCTCTGGCTGAATGCTCTCTGCCTAAACCAACTAAGTTTTGATGTTATGAGATCTGTGTTTCTTAATTTTCTTGTTCAGGACACAATATTACCTTTTATAGTTTAGCTCCCTTAGATCAAAACATCACTCAAAATTCTTAAAATACTGTTATGTGATGAGGAAGCTGGGAAGAACCCTCCCCATAAAAAGTGTGTGTAAAGGGTAAATGCACATATTCAGGCATTAAAAAAAAGTCCGCAGAAGGATATTTAGAAATGGTTGTTTCCAAGTCATTTGGCGAGCAGGCATCCTAGAAGTCAAATTAATAGTTTCTGGTTTGTGCAGTAGAAATTTTTAAAAATAGAATTCTGAATGTGTTCTTTGGCAAGGTAACTTAATTATAGATTTTTATATATATATCTATAAGTAGTTGCATGACTTGTTACACCAGTGTGCTACCAGTCCCGTCGATAAGTACTTGAACTACCTGGGTATGATGAAGCTTGTGTAAATAGATGATTCATTTCCCACAGAGAAAACAATGTGTCCCTTCTCATGATCTCATATGCCTCAGATATCTTAAATATTAACTCTAATGTTTGTTTGGAATAATCACCAGTAAAATAAATTCTGAGATTATTAGGGTTTTATTACTGTAATCTCACTTGTTCAATGAAGAGTTACATAATTACATCATACTAAGTAATGAATCTGAGAAGGGGTAGCTTACACTCAAGGTTTGTGTGATTCTCCAAATACAGAGCGGTTCAAGCTGAGATGCATTACTTTGAGCTCCTTCTGTTATTCAACTTGTCAGCACATCAGTTAGTGCAACAGGACAATTTTATCAGCTGTGTTGCTTGTAAAGAGAGAGAGGGGAAAAGCGGAGCAGAATTCAGGTTTACAGTTTTTAAAGAAGCCTCTAATTTTCAGATGTGATTATAAAACAGCCTTTGTAACTTTATGTGAAATTTCAGCTCCTGTGAGGTTGTCCATTTCATTGAGAATTGAAGGGTTACCTTGAGATTTTTTTAAATATATGTTTATACACAAGTAGCCCAAGATCACTGGAAATTGTGTTGCTCCTAGCCCGTCAGTGGAAAGAAGCATCCATTTCTCATAAGTTCATCAGCTTCTTGCAGCAGATGTGGTGTTTTCTGTGAGTACAGTGTCATTCTCTGCTCTTTGGATATGCAGCTGTTCTGAAGAGATGCGAGAGGACTATGCTGAGTTTGTGAATTGAGAAAATTATATTGTCAGATGGATGTTCTCTCCCAGGTTACTTTCATTCAAATCTTACTTTGTCCGTCTTTGTGCCAGCTCTTCACTGGAACCCTTCTTGTGAAAGACTTTTGT